GGGGGGGGGGGGCTTGCCAGCCCTGACTTACCGCAGGCGCCTGGGCAAACCGCGGGCCCCTCTGGGGCCTGGGGGTGGGCGGGGCCTTCGAAGGCTCGGTCCGCCGGGGGGCTGGTCTCTTCAGGGGGGACACCTTGAAAAGAAGGGGCGGAAGAGACGGGGGACCCTTCCTGACTGTTGGGCTCGTGGGCCATGTAGTCCGGCTCGAAGGGGCGCGTCCTTGAAGACCCTTGCGCCAAACTTGGCCCTGCCTGCCACGTATTTATAGACCTTCCTCGTGACTTCGTGAAAGGCCGGCTGCTAATTCCCGGCAGTTACCTCGGGGGCAGAAGAGGAGGGAGGGGAAAACAAACCTCATACACGTGTGTCCACCTTATTGGAGCCGTACTCGGGGTTCCCGGCCAAACTGCGACTCGCTGGGACGCGCTTAAAACAAAACACGCTTCAGCAACTGACCGCGTCCTCGGCAGACCGTCGACACCGCATGAGAACGTGAGGATGTGGCTCCCTGATGTCCTCGTGGGAATTAACGCGTAAATGGGTTCAAACGGGGCGGGGGCGATCCGTTCAGGGCCCCCTCCGCCTCTCTGCAGAAGCTTTGCAGGAAGGGGGACAGCGGGGACACTCTGCGCCCCCCCTCTTCCTTATGCTTTGTTCTGGACCAGACGTACATTGCCCTCTTCTTTGCAAAAAACAACAACCGTATTTTCGAAGGCTTTCACGGCGGGGATCTAATGGTTGTTGTGGGTTTTTCAGGCTCTTTGGCCGTGTTCAGAAGGTTGTTCTTCCTGACATTTCGCCAGTCTCTGTGGCCGGCATCTTCAGAGGACTGGAGTAGGAACTCTGTCCATGCTCTGTTGATGTTTGTTGGATAGTATTTATAGCTGTGGGAACAGCTTTTGTCTTTTTTCAGGAGATAGGATGATCAGCATGTTCTGTTGCTGTTTGTTGGATAGTTGAACAGAGACTGGTGAAATGTCAGGAAGAACTACCTTTAGAACATGGCCAAAGAACCCAAAAAACCCACAACAACTGTATTTTGTCTACTTTATGGCCAGCACAGGCTCAACATTTCTGACGGGAGAGGGTTGTTTTTTTTCATGTCAGCCTAGACACACGCCTAGGCAAGATGTTGTTGTTTAGTCATTAAGTCGTGTCTGACTCTTCGTGACCTCATGGACCAGAGCACACCAGGCCCTCTTGTCTTCTGGCCAGTGAGCACTCGGGGTTGATTTCCTTTAGAATTGATAGGGTTGTTCTCCTTGCAGTCCAGGGGACCCTCAAGAGTCTCCCCCAGCACCACAATTCGGCAGCATCAATTCTTTGGCGGTCAGCCTTCTTTATGGTCCAGCTCTCACTTCCATACATCACTACTGGAAAAACCATAGCTTTAACTATGTGGACCTTTGTCGACAAGGTGATGTCTCTGCATTTTAAGATGATGTCTAGGTTTCTCATCGTGTTCCTCCCAAGAAGCACTCGTCTTTTAATTTTGTGGCTGCTGTCACCAAGGCAAGATGAATGAGTCGTTTATACATCGAAGGTGGCAGGACTTTTTATAAACATACACCGACATTGCCGTTCTTCCCAGAGCATCCACCCATGGAGTTGGTTCATTTGTATTTAATAATAATGCTGTCAGGTATATGCATGATGCCTGTGCTTCTTTGTTTGAAGAAATGGGGTATGATAGCCAATCAACAGCTTCCTCAGCCATAATTTTACAATCACAATTCCAGTGCAGCCTGCACATTTCTTAACTAGAAAAACACCTGGCAAAATCCATCTGCTGTGAACGTTAGTTTTTTTGTACTAATGACAAGACACCGGTGCAAACCTGATGATGTGGGCCCTGGTCCAGGAAAGCTAGCAGAATTGAATGACTTCTTTAGTGGGTTGTGATGGTGTTGCCTACATTTGTACCCTGTAAAGTAAATATCATCATTAAAAGGAGGATTGAAAATAGCCAACACTCTGATGCTGTTATACGAAATGTTGGTAAGACTGCACCTGGAGTATTGCATACAGTTTGGGTCACTGCACCTCAAAAAAGACATAGTGGAAATGGAAAAGGTGCAGAAGAGAGAGACTAAAATGATGACTGGGCTGGGGCACCTCCCTTATGAGGAAAGGCTGCAACATTTGGGGCTCTTTAGTCTAGAAAAGCGCCTGATGCGGGACATGATTGAGATGTATAAAATTATTCAGGGGATGGATAAAGTGGATAGATGGAAGCTCTTTTCCCTCTCACGCAATACTAGAATCAGGAGACATCCACTCAAATTGAGAGTTGGGAGAGTGAGAACAGACAAAACATTTCTTTACCCTTGCCACAGGATGTGGTGATGGAACTCCTTGCCACAGGATGTGGTGATGGCATCTGGTCTAGATGCCTTTAAAAGGGCATTGGACAGATTCCTGGAGGAAAAGTCCATTGCAGGTTACAGGCCATGATGGGGATAAATAATCTGCAGGCTTAAAAGGATGGCACCTCAAAATGCCAGATGCAGGGGAGGGGTATCAGGAGACAGGTATCTAGTTTTCTCGTATGCTCCCAGAGGCATCTGGTAGGGTCACTGTGAGATACAGGAAGCTGGACTAGATGGGCCCTTGACTTGACCCAGCAGGGCTCTTCTTAGGCGAGAAGACTTGCTACAGATAATTCCTTGAGCTGTAAGGTGAACCATACCTCATTGATCTTGGACCTGGATCTAATCCTGCTAAAACTGGTTGGCCTTGTTGCATATCTCAGAATGGTGCTCCTGTGATGGCTGTGTGTATGACAATAACCTTTTGGTGTGTACATGTGATGGAAGGGCAATGAGAATTGCATGTGTTCAATACAAATCACCTACCTGCAGTTGTGGGGAAATGAGTATAACAAATGTACATTCCAAACACATATGCCCTTCCATGGTAAATATCAATATTCAGTGAAGATGATGGTGACAGTTATTTTGGATTGCTTACAACAAAAGACTGCAAAGCAAATATCATGTATAGGGACATGTATAGACTATGTTGTGATGAAATGTGCCTGTCTTTAATATGCCACAGAAACTCTTCAGTTGTTTTTGCTGTAAATCACTTCTCAAATTTTTGCTCTACATTTATTTAGTTTGGACCTTACTTTTTCGTGGTGTGAAAATAAACTGCTTTGCTTAGCATGAATCTTATAAGCTATCTTTCCTTATAACCTCTTACTTCTGTCATTGATGGACAGCATGGTGTCCTAAGGAAAGGAAATGGTACAACTCTCTAGATGTTCTAGGACTGCGAATCCCATGATGCCTCACATTTAGCTGTACTGGCTAGGGCTGATGGGAACTGAAGTTCAACAGAATGCACCCATACCCCAGCAGTGGGAGGAAGAAAGGAATGAACATATTCACTGTTTTACAAGGTAAATGTTTATGTTGCTAGAATTTAAAAAAAACAATGGAAAGGTTCCAGCAACGCTCAAGACATAGAGAGGCAATATCATTTTCCAAGAACAATAAAGGGAAACGTTGTTGAAGAGGATTTTAACTGCTTGCATACTGATTTTTTAAACTGATGTTCTTTATGTTTTTAATTTATGTATATGTTTTAACTGTATTTCAGATTGTTTTAAATATCAATTGTATTCTTGTTAGTCATCTTGAATGCCATTTTTAGTAAATAACTAGCAGCAATGTAAGTAACCAGAGTAATGTTGGTCGTTGTCTAGAAATGTTAAGCACCCATCAGGATCCTTGATTGAAATCCTCCTTTTTCCCCTTTAAATGTACATCAGTCAACCCACACTCTTGCCTCATCACCTTAGAGCCATTTTCTTTATTTGAATGGGACTATTCTGATTAGTCACTCTCAATATTGCTGCCTGGAACTGTCCTCCTTTGAACTTGTTGCATTTACTGTCCTTACACTTTTATCCTCTAGCTATGTGAACTGGCTGTACCCTATTTCTAGGTGTGAATCAGATACCACTATTTAAACACAAATAAAAAAGGAGACACAAACCCTCAAGGTGTGATAGATATACAATCAGCCTGGGGCAGGTTTTTGGTAGAAAAGGTGACTTTCTGGGCAACTTTGATGAAATAAAATGATTATTCATTAAACAATGTATATATATATTTAAAAATCATTGAGTAGACAAATTCCATATGTGGGCTAGACATTTTTAGCAAATCATGTTTCTTTAGCCAATTTGCTTTCTTCCAAAAGCCAGATGTGAGAGTATGGATCCTCTTTCAGCTTCGGTGTAGAAATATACAAATAAGAAAAACAGGTTGTTGGGTTTTTTTTATAAAATTAATTTTTTATTATTATGTAACAATGCTCTGATCACATAACAAAAAATAAAAAGTAGTAATTACCTATAAATAGTTACATTTCCAATAATTTTCGTATCTATAGTATACTAATAATACTGTATTTAAACATTTATATATGTTTTACTTCTAACCCTACAGTTATTCAAACTAACCAGCATTTCAGCCCATTTTCCATTTGATCTCTTGCACCACAGGCCAACAAGGGATACTATACTTCCATAAAGTTATCTTGTTTTTTCCCCACCTCTATAGAGTTTAATGCAATAGGTCAAATTTTCCATCAGAGCCAGTCTAATGCAATAGGTCAGTTTTTCCATCAGAGCAAGTCTCCATATTCTATTTTGAAATTTTTGCAAGGACAAGTCCTGAGCGTCCTTCCACTGATGGGCATTTTCATAACAGGCTCGTCCTAGTATAACCGCAATTAGTTCTTTATTCACAATGTTTTTGTTTCCTTCTGTTATACTTTCCAGAGTTCTTTATTCACAATGTTTTTGTTCCCTTCTGTTATACTTTCCAACCCCTTAATTACTTCAGACCAGAAAATTTCCACTCTTGGGCATGTTAAGCACATATGTTCCAGAGTTCCTTTATTCCTGCATTTCCTCCAACACATGTCTGATATTCCTTTATTTCTTCTATTTAATTTTACAAGGTATAAGTACCATCTGTGCACTACTTTTAACACTGTTTCTTTAGCTTGAGATGATACTGATTTATAAGGTAGAGAGTTCCATGTTCTTTTCCATGTGTTTTCTAATATCTCAGTTTTTAAATTTGTCTCCCAAACTATCTTGGATCCCATATTGTCTCCAAGTTGCTTATCTATAATACTTTTATAAATTGCTGAAATTAACCATGTTTTCCTTTTATTTTCTATCTTTATACAATATTTCTCTATTTCTGTTAATGGTCTATTTGAATCCGGTGTTTTCTGTAGTTGAGTTGCCAAATTTCTAATTTGGGTTATCTGATACCAATTG